GTGTGCGGCGCACCCCTGGCCTTCCCTCCCCTCCCCCCCCAGCCATAATCTGGCTATTCAAAAAGAAGAAAATACAAGCCTACCTGGAACGGGAGCTCCCAGGCAGACGCACTGACATCAGACAGTCAAAACGCAGCAGCACTCGCAGCAAATGGGAGGAGAGATGAAATGACACATCAAGGCAAACACTAGCTCAGCTCACATGGTCCAGTAAAATCATCGACTAATCTAATCGTACGCAGTTAGTGAGCCCATCTGTCTGCACAAACAGCAGGGGCCAGACAATACACCATCCCATCCGCTTTTGTCTTGCCGTGCTCTCAAAAGCTTCTTACACTGTGGGAACTTTGCTGCTTGTCTGAATTTGCGGTAGACTTTTAGATATAAAGGTTTCAGGAATAGGGAAGCTGCTTAGTCTCTAGCAGAGTGCATTTTGCAAGTCAGACTTGCTACTGGTCCAAAGCAGAGCACTCTACTTCTCCCTTCTCCAATTAATTTCCAACAGGGACACGTACTCACCTCTGTGCAAACTACTCCTCATCAGCTGCTCAGGAGCAACAGCACAGCGTTCTCTTCCCTGCTCATTTATCCTCCTGCGCAGAGAAAGCAAGACGTAATTAAACATGTCCTAACAGAGGACAGTCAGGTTGTGGTGGTGAAGTTGGTTTTCTTGTGCTAAATATGACTGGATTTTATAGGTGACACTGGTGTAGTCGAGGCACGAAGAGAGATCTGTTCTCTTACTGCAGATTAATGTACACATTAGTGTACAGTAAAGTACAAATGTACACGTGCAGCTATTATTTGCACTGGAGGAATGTCCAAAGGTAGCTCACACTGTCCTTTGCAAACATTTGGGCACTCGCTAACTTTATGAACATGAACCCACGGTGTTCCCCTCAGTGAGTGAAGTGGGGCAGCTTGTGTCAGACCCTTAAGGAGGTGCCGGGACAGGGCAGTGTCCCTGCGGCCCGGTCCCTGTGTGGCCAAGGGCCCGTTCCCAGCTACAGGTGCCTTAGCAGCTGGAGGAGTAAAGCAACTCCATCTGCAGGTTGGGATTGACCTGCTCTGCCAAGCAAGGCTAACCGCAGCCTCGCCTGCTGGTTCGGGTGTCTGGCTATGCCACAGAGAGAGCACCTACATGGATCACTCCTTTTATTTCTAATGGCTCCACTAAACATTTAGCATTATCATGCCCTTTATTCTGGCAATATAATTTGTTGCCAGGTATGAAATGGGCAGAGAGTCCATAGGAATCTAGAAAACATCACCTGTCAGGGATGACTGAAAAATACATATGGTTATTTTTGTCATTAAAAAAAGGAAATAGGCAGAAATTCTTTAAATATGCAAAAAAGGAAAACCAGAAACAAATGCTGATGCAAATAGGAAGGGAGCAGCTGATTCTCCTGTGCATAGGACAAGAACTAATCATCTTAGATAGCATCAGGAGAGGTGAAGATCAGACATTAGGGAAGCTTTGTAGTGATAAATAGTTAAATGTGGATTAGATTGTCTGGAGAGGCTGGAATTTTCTCGCTGATGGTTTAGGTGTAGCTTTTTCAGCAGTTTTGCAGGTCATACTGGTCCAGACCTGGTAATTTTCTAGGTCTTTTCCAGCTCTCTTTCCTATGATTGTCTGTATTACAGTATCTCTTAGCTTTGTTGTAGCTGGGCTGG